CCTCCGGGAACCTCAAATATTCATGAGTCTGCAATTAACCCGTAAAGTCCTGCTGAGGCAGCAAGTCGAGCCCATCTCTGGACGTCCAGACAGACTCTTTCTATTAATGTCACAGAGCTATCTACCTACAGAGAGCGTGCCACATCTTCACCGCTGACAAATGCATCCTAAAGGACAAGAGCAGGAGTTTTTTGTAGGATTATAGGGAGATATATTGTTGTCGTAGCACTTCACATTACAGCTTATTGTTAAAGTTTGTTAATAAAGAGGAAATAAGTGAGTTATATAATGAAAGTAATAACCTACTAAAAGCTAGAATCACATTTTGATAAGGCAACGAGTGCCAAGGTCAATGGTGCATTCACATGATCCTCAATTTGTCCAATTTCTACAGTTGGAAGGTTGTTTTTTTCTTTGGTGTGCTGATGAGTGTTCACTTGTAATGTGGAAACAATATGGACACTATTAAGAAGATGTGTTGTATGTCATGCCTCAGAGCGTTTTAAACAACATGTTGACATCTGTTTTCAAGTTGTTCTGAATTATGTTGTTTCTGATTATTTCCAGATCACATGAATGCAGCACAAACACTCTCCCTCAATGATAATGAAGAAAACATATCTTGTGTTTCCGCACTGTGTTTTCGATCCGCTCAAAACTTTAACACATTATTCTTTGGCCAATGCTCTTTTACCAAGTTTTATAACATTTCGGCAAGTAGCTTGTTAGTATAAAATACATTCATTAAAGTTATAAAAGGGTAAACAATGGTGAATTTCCCAATATAGATACACAGTCATAAGAGGCGTTTCTATAAAGTTTGAAATGTAAAATATACACAATATACACAAGGCATCAACGTGTTGAGTGAAGAAGTAGTGAAAAATGATATAGAAACAGCGAGTTAAGCATTTGGTAACCCTGAATTATAGTTATTCCCCGTGTTTGGCCTCTTTGTTGAATTATGAATTGTAAGATATGAATTTGTTTATTTAATACTCTTATACTAATCACTTCCTGTATTCCCGTGATAAAAGGGACATGTGCAATAAAACGTGTCACTTCCGGTTGAAGCAAAGCCGACGGTGTATGTGTGTATTTATTCCTCTGTCACGTTAAACTATGTTCACGATATTCCCATTATATCCATTTCACTCTAATACATATTAACAAATGTATATTTTGTTTAAAAACAAGGTATCACTTAAAAAAATACATGGCATTACTTTATTAATACCTCTTTATTATCAAACTCTTACCCCATTTTTAGAGCTGCAAGTACCAAATATTCTTATTTTATATGAAGTTGTTGCCTATTTTCTTAATGAAGCACTAAACTGGTTTATGAAATGGCCGAAACTGTCCATCAGTGTGTCCTAAATCCCAAAATGACGCCCTCACATGTGTTTTACTGTCCACAACTCTGTTAAAAGGAGTTCAAATAAACAAAAAGCTGAACATATTTACCTTTTAGAAGCTGGAAACAGATCATTGCGAAGAAATATGCAACCGATTACTCGTTTATCAAGAGAATTGGCGATTTTTGTAATAGTTGATTTGGCTCTACTCTTCCCATGTTATGACCGAATGTAAAGTGCTTCCTTCTGTCCGACCTGTTATACATTAACCATGAGACCCCCCCCCCCCCCCTGCAGAAACTGTGGCCACGGGCATGTCAGTGTCATGATGATAATTAATTATGGCAAAATAGAGCCATCAGAGACTTGGCCTCCTTAAAGGCCCACAGCTAATCAGCGGCTCTATTCACAGCTAGCCTGACGATTGGCCTAGATAACCAGAAAGCAGAAACCAGGACCAACAACACTCCGTCTCCTATTCATAGAAAAGGGTCTCCTGGGACGTGTCGATTTGAGCCTTTACACTTAAGATTTCACGCAGCGATGCAGCTGACATGTAAGGGTTTGTTTGTGTCAGTAAGTAAGTGTTTTTGATGCTATGGCGGACATTTTTTCCAGACTGACAAACAATGAAACACACGTCAACTCTCATGCTGTTGGACAGGGCGCAGAACATCAATATAAACACAAAATATTACACCCTTTAACAACAAAATAAGGGTGTATATGCTGCTAGCAATGTGGTTCAAAAGTCATTTCCCATTGTAGACAAGTAAGCCTTTCTGCCCAAGATTGAAAACATTACGGCGGTAAATACTTATTTTATATCCGTTATTTATTACGTTTTATAAGCGTGTCTTATGATAATCAGTGAGGTAACATTACTGTTCCTCTCAACAGAGTCTGGTGGCTTTGAGAAAACAATAAATGCATGTTTTGTATGTTAATACATTCTGGTAATCTCTCAAATTCCTGTTGATTTTATTGTAAATAAATCTCATAGCATCATGCCCATTTAGTTTGTCCACCATGGTGTCATGTTACCATAGATAACAGAACGAACGGCGGGTATTAGAACAGCGGAAAGACAAACAAAGATTGTTTTTAGAAATGCTATTTTGTTTCTGTCCAGTTTGAATGTGTTTGATAATCAGGAAAGTAAAATGTCTGTTTCTGTCAATGGAGTCTGGTGGTTTTCAGGCGAGAATACTTATTATGTACGTTAAAAAAGGGTCAAATCCCTGTTGGTTTAATTGATTATATACTTACCTAAAGAGGCCCTATTTTGCATTCGGGTGTTCCCTTTCCTGTAGTGTGTTCTATAGGTTTTAGTGCATGTAAATGGTCTGCAAAGGCTAAAATCCCTGTGTTCCCTCCAGAGGAAGTTTCTCTCCCACACACTCCCCAAATGCAGGTTTTAACCTTTCACACTGAAAACAAAATCCAGATGTTAGTGGCGTTTTTTTCCAGTGGGATATTCACAGTCCAGAAAGCCTCATTTAGGGAAAAGAGCTGACTGCATTGTATAGGTTAAGAAGCTTTGTCTTATAGTTACACAACGCTCAGCCAACAGGAGCACAAAGCGCCTTTACAACACGTTAGCTTTATTAGGCTCATTTACTGCTGCAATGCTTTATAATAAACACAACTACACCAAAAAACTTTCCAACTGCTCCTTTAAAGTGAACGACCACAACAAAGAGCATTTTATTGCGAAAAACTTCAAACCACAAACGGGCTCGCTGCCTGAGGTCTAATCCAGCAACGTGCACAGGGATGTTGTTACAACATGAGAGAATAAATCCAGACTCTGCTAATCCACAAAGCAGCGTGCACACGAGGCAGCTGCGCTATTCTGTCAGCAACAAGTCTCCTCTGGAAACAAACTGCACATTTAAACAGGACAGGGTCATTTAGTACAAGGGGAACTCCAGCAGATTCACACCAGTCCCATCAGAACTACTGTTTACTGCTGTTACCAGGGCCGTCCCTCCCTACAGGCCGATCACGCAGACTGCGTGGGGCCTCACCTCGCGGAGGGTGCCTCAACTGAGCCGAAAATATGTCCTCTTTAACTAAATGTTCTCCTTACAAAGAAGTTAGTCTTTGTCATAAGTGTTTTTTTCAGTAGGAGAATAAACTTTCCATACATCTGAGAATAGATTTGAACATTTAGCTTCCCTTGATGCAGATTACATCACCGTGTCTCTGCCTGTCCGTCACATGCTTTGTGCCAGAGAGCTTTGGGCTGGATCACCTTATATAACAACACACCATTCTGCTCATCTGCTTAATCTCACTCACACTGGATAACTCTCCTTTTTTTCCCTTTTTCGGGCGGCAGTCGAGGCAATCCTAATACGCTCTGTGTGCCAATCCCTGTTTGGCCTCGACAACTTCCCCGTGTCCTCGCTCACTTTGACAAAACGCCCCCTTTGCCACTCTCCTCCTTATCCCACTTAACATTGTTATATTGTTAACATGTCAATACTCCTGCTCAATGACTGATTCTCCCATTGTGTGCACACATCACAACAGGAAACCCGCTGTGATTGGAAGCCGCATGACACACTTTTAAGCCCCTCCATCTCCATCTCCATCGCCATCCTCTTTTTCCTCCCGTAACAAAGAACCTCCCTACATTTATCACGCTACACAAACCCCTTTAAGTTAATTACTCGCCACCGAGGACAACAACAGTGATGTGCGCTGACACAAAAACACTCAGGGTGGACAGAGCTGGAGGCCGGAGGGCAGTCATGTCTCTGTGAGCTGTTCTCTGTGAGCTGTTCTCTGTGAGCACTCGGCAGTGAAGAGCAGAAGGGGGTGGGAAAGAGAAAAGGAGAAAGAAAACACTCCTGAAAGAAGTGCAGAGCCACTGGGTTCCTGTGAGGAAGCAGTGAAAGTCCATGTTGTCACTCCCAACTAACCATGGGAGCTTTTACACATGCTAATCATGCTAAATGAGGAAGGGGTTAATATCTCTGACCTTCTAATAGGGATAAAGGATGTGAGACAATATAAAACATCGGATTAAATGAAGGTGTTATATGTAACATTACCGACAATAAAATGTATAGAAACTGCAGAACTAGGTTATATATTTGGTTCAGTTGTGCATTTCCATTTCCCCAAATGTCTCCAACATTTTCAAACCCATAGAAAAATGAAATGTAATTGTAATTAATGTAAACATCCTCCTGTCAACTGTGACTGTGTTGTATTCCCTTTGAGCATGCTTCCAGAAGATGTCCTAAATTTACTTTTTATCCATTTTTACCGTGCACTTTTTTAGATGTTGGTGCTTTATAACGCTATATTTGAACCGGATATGATGTTGTTTTGGTCCAGTGTACAATTGATACCCATCAAATGTTAAATAAATCTGCGTATCAATAAAATATTGCCACTACTACATCACTGTACTTTAACGCAGCCTTTAAACAAAGTAAATCAACACTTAGGATATCCAAAATCCATGAAAATAATGGGCCTCAAATCCAAATATCAGAATAATAGTAATATATAACTCCAAATCTCACGATACAATGATTTCCCCGCACCAATATAATACTGTTCTGTTTAATATAATAATCCTTCCAAATAAAAGTCCTCAGTAATGCTCTGTGTGGTGTCTCTTACCCAGATCCTGCCCACTGTGGTCCTGGGAGTTCCTGCTGGAGGTGTTGGATTCTCCGTCTCCGCTCCAGATCTTTCCCGTCTTGCGGACCCCGATGACGGCGGCCTCGCAGACGACCCCCTGCTGCTTCAGGCGCTTCTGAGCCAGCGGGGTGGGGGGGCTGCTGCTGCCGAGGGAGGGGGAGCGGCTCTTCTCCCGGTATAGGGGGAAGGTGGAGGGGCTTGGGGACACGAGGCTGGACGGACCCGACGAGAAGTCCTCCTCGCTGGAGGTCAGGTTCTCGTTGGAGCTGCAGTCCGGCGTGTAGCCTCCACCTAACGGGGGGGGGGGGGGAAATCAAGATTCATCACAATGTTTATAGAGATTTGTTTATTCCACACATGGCAGTTATTTTAAAGGTCACCTATTATGCAAAACCCACTTCTTCATGTCTCTTCTACATCAACACGTGTCCCCTCTTCTTCATGTCTCTTCTACATCAACATGTGTCCCCTCTTCTTCATGTCTCTTCTACATCAACATGTGTCCCCTCTTCTTCATGTCTCTTCTACATCAACATGTGTCCCCTCTTCTTCATGTCTCTTCTACATCAACATGTGTCCCCTCTTCTTCATGTCTCTTCTACATCAACATGTGTCCCCTCTTCTTCATGTCTCTTCTTACATCAACATGTGTCCCCTCTTCTTCATGTCTCTTCTTCATCAACATGTGTCCCCTCTTCTTCATGTCTCTTCTTACATCAACATGTGTCCCCTCTTCTTCATGTCTCTTCTACATCAACATGTGTCCCCTCTTCTTCATGTCTCTTCTACATCAACATGTGTCCCCTCTTCTTCATGTCTCTTCTTCATCAACATGTGTCCCCTCTTCTTCATGTCTCTTCTACATCAACATGTGTCCCCTCTTCTTCATGTCTCTTCTGCATCAACATGTGTCCCCTCTTCTTCATGTCTCTTCTACATCAACATGTGTCCCCTCTTCTTCATGTCTCTTCTACATCAACATGTGTCCCCTCTTCTTCATGTCTCTTCTACATCAACATGTGTCCCCTCTTCTTCATGTCTCTTCTTCATCAACATGTGTCCCCTCTGTGTAAAGAGATTCTGAAAGTGTCAGGAACAAAGATTCTCTCTCTTTTTGTCCTGATCCATTTCTATAAAAACCTGTCTGAAAATGAGCTGATCAGATTTTGGACACTTTATGATGTCATAACGAGGTTTTGTCTTGTGCAACCATTAGCTAATCACCAACCAAGGTAGGGTACTTGAAAAGTACTCCGGTGTGAAAGCGCCTATTGTGTTCTTTTTAACCAAATCTCTCTCAGAGGGGCGTGGGGAGGGGCTCCTTATTTTCATCTAAAGTAACAGACAGAGAATCAGCACTTTGGAAACAGGGCTGAAACAGAGGGGATTATGGGATGCTGCAATGATCTGTTTGGTGTTTCAGCCAATCAGAGACATGTTCTGTATATATCTGAGACCTATAATAAATTGATGAAAAACAGTATAAGAGGGGACCTTTAATGATAAAAGATCCACACTCACCTCCCACGTCGTCGAAGCTCCCTGGAGAGTAGGACCTCCGGGGCCAGGTGAGGTGAGCCTCCTCCTCCTGGCTGTGGTCCCGGATGTGGATCACTCGAGGCTCCCCCTCCCCCATCATCCCCCCCACGTACACACTGGTGTAGGGCTGGCACTCGGACCTCCCCCCCACCTCCTCGTACGCCCCGTTGACTCCCTCCGTAGATCTCCCTCTCTGCACCTTACTGATGTCCCCCGATGCAGCAGAAAGGTTCCCAGGAAGTGAATGAAGGGACCGTTTCCTCTCCATCTGCATGGCCTGACTCCCCAGGGTGCTGATCTTGTCTGAAACCTCCCTGTCGTTGACTTTGACCAGGCCTCGCTCGTGGTGGTACTCCATGTTCACGTAGAAGGGCTTCTCCATCACCGACAGGCCCCTCCCGTCCCCTGCAGAGTGAGAGTTGGCCCTCCTGATGCGCTCAAAGTTGGACCTCAGAGCTGCCACGGAGCCTGTGCTTGGAGGATACTCAGGAACCTCTGGATCAACATCTTTCTGTTTGCTCGGAGACGCTGCATCCACCTCCAGATGTGCTTTACTGCTTACTTCATCTGTGTGCAGAGGTGGAAGAAGTGTTCAGATGCTTTACTTGGGTAAAAAGTACCAATACATTACTGTCAAAGTACTTCATTACAAGTAAAAGTCCTGCATTCAAAATCGTACTCCTGCTGTGTTTGTTTCTCCCGCCTTATTTTGGTATTCCTAGTCCAATTTTAACTGCTCTTACATTAACACAAAAGTCATTAATCATCACCAAATGTTATTTAACTCTCTTTTAAGCTGTAAACAATGTCTCAGGTTACTGGTTTACATGAATAACTGCAGAGAAAATAGACACTGAAAATGTCATGCTTGTCGATTTGTGGGTGTGTACTATCTGGTGGATGAACATAAACCCATTCACTTCCTATGGCGGTCACCATAGGAGTTACAAAGTTGACTAAACCACCCAAAATGCAATGAAAGTGGTGATCAGCAATTACATGATATGTTCTAATGCCTACTGTGGAGGATATCATAAAGCCCTGAGGCAATAACATGTAAAACACAATATATATTATTGATGAAAGTAGTAAAACGGTCAGATTTGACCTGAACACGACAGGAGGGTTAAGTAAAAGTACAAAAGTATTATCAACAAAATGTTGTCTTTATGTGTGTATATAATCATAATTATTATACATGTGACATTTCTAGATAAATGTGTGGCATCACGTAGCATTTTACTGCTGTAGACAAACCACGTTCTGATTGACTTTTTGTAAAATTATTAAATAATTTGACTCTTTTGTGACTTTAAGAGTTAGTCCACTAGTTTAAATTTGAGAGATGCATTTTGTTAAAAGTAGCTGAAGCTGTGAAATAAACAGGTGGAGTAAAATAACAGTATTTCCCTTTATTTTAATTGTTACCCTAGTGATACATGTCCTTTCTACTGTGAATTTGTATATACTTGCTGCTAATGTTAATGTTTTATTCTTATTCTATCTTTCAAATATTGTTAACTTGTGTAATGCTGGACAAATCTGCCGCTGTGACAAACAAATCTCCCAGTTTGGGATGAATAAAGTATCTATCTAAATGTAGTTGAGAAGAAGTATGAAGTAGCTCAAAATGGAAATACTCAGGTAAAGTACAAGTACCTCTAAATTGCACTTAAGTACACTACTTAAGTAAATGTACTTAATTACTTCCCACCTCTGGACATAACAAAGACTTTGTATCACAGAGCTGGCAGGCAAACATCGGGCTGATATTTGGTACTAATGATCGATTGCCTTCTTACATCCAGCTCAACCAGTTAATGTCAAGTTAATGTCCCCACCTGTGTCTGTGTGCTGGTCTCCATCGTTGATCTGTGGAGAGTTTTTAAATCCCCACCGCTGCCCATCGTAGGATTTCCTCTCTTTGGCCAGCAGAGTCTGCAGGTAGATCATGCGGAAACGCTCCTTGTTCACTTCCTTCTCCAGTTGTCTGATGGACGTCTTGCATTTGTCCAGCTCCTGCTCGATGTTCCCCAGTGACTCCAGATCCATGGAGGGGGGGTCAGACTCAGGGAACTGGGCTTTCCATGCAGCCACAAACCCCACCGGCTCCACCATGATGATTATTATTATTCAGAGGGGGGAGGAGTACTCATATCGTGTACTAAAAGTAGAAAGCGTAGGAATACTCTGTTACAAATAAAAGTCCTGCATTCAAAATGTTACTCAAGTAGAAAAAGTATTATCATCAAAATATAGTGAAAGTTGCGACAGTAAAAGTAGTCATTGTGCAGATTGGTCCATTTCAGAATAATATATATGATGTGTTTTATAATGATTGATCATTAAAGTGTTCTCAAAGCTGGTAAAGGTGCAGCTAGTTTGAATGACTTTGTATACTGCAGGGTAGCTTGTGAATTTACTCCAGGTGGAACTAAAGTCTGATTTAACACTTGATTATATTTCACATCATTCATCCAGATCTGTGAAGTAACTAAATACATGTAGTGGAGTAGAAGTACACCATTTACCTCTGAACTGTAGTGGAGTAGAAGTATGAAGTAGCAGAACATGTAAAGTCCCTCAAAAAGGTATTTGAGTAAATGTACTTAGTTACTTAACGCCACTGTGTTAATATTATACCTCTAACATAGACTATTCAATCAAAACATGAAGCTGGATCTGACTGTTTACCTTCCATAGTGTTATCCAGAGGTAGAATCCACTTTAAAGTGAGTCAAAACTGTTTCAGTTGCAGCATTTACTCACAAACACAAAGAGAAAATCCTCTCTCCTTACTCCTGTTGATGCAGTCCACAAAAAAAACGATTGTTATCCTTATTCCTGGTATTTAATCCCTTCTTTGTGCCCGTCTATTCTCTGGAGATGTGTCCCCCTCTGTGTTTGCTGTCAGACTGAATCTCTGCTGCCTCCTTCTCTCTCTCAGTCAGCAGGAAGAGAGGAGGGGCTTACACTGCAAATGCATGAAGAAAAAACGTACAATAATATGTCAAAATGCGAGTTTACAGGCAGAGCTGAGGTAATGTTGAAAAACACCTTGACAGCTGTGAGAAATATATCTAAAAAAAGCATAAAAACTGACATTGCAAGACATACGTAGTCCAACGTCGTAGAGAAGAGAGAGGATTTTTTTTTGCAAGAAGGTGAAGGGGAACGAGATCCTGATTTTCAAAACAACTACCTGCTTCTATTTTTAGCCCCAAAAAGACTACATTTAACTTAATTTCCACCTTTGTTTTCCCTTAGCTTTATATATGTCTCTCTTTCGGACCCACTTCGCACTTGTGCTTTTAGTTTTGCTCTGAAAACTCAGCTGGTTAATCCTCCCAAAGTTCATTGTGTCACAACCTGAAGCAGAGCTGTGAGGAAATGTCGCCACCTGTCGGTCAGAGACTGCAATTACAGAGAGGTGCGTTCAAGGACAGAGAGGTGCGTTCACGGGTACATTCAAGTATGGACAGTGGTATAAAAGTAACCAAGTGTATTTACTCAAGTATTGTTCTTTAGTACTTTTTTGCCATATTTGTACTTTACTTAAGTATTTCCATTTCATGCTACTTTATACTTTTTACTCCACTACATTCCGCATAATAAGTGTTTTTACATTTTATGCTTTAAGTTTATTTGATTCTTATACTTTTGTACTTTTAATAAAGCAAAGTCTTGAAATCAGGACTTTTAATTGTAACGCAGTATTTTAAGACCATGGTATTTGTACTTTTACTTAAGTAAAGGACCGAAATACTTATTCGAAACACTTAGTATGGAGATTTACTGTGTTCATGTACAGAGCATAAGCACAGAGGATGCGTTCAAGAACAGCATTTTGAGATTTACCAAAAATGCTTTGTATATTGACTATATGTAGGCCAGTATCATGTATATACTATTGTGCTTTAAGCTCGATTTATTTGTAGGCTATGTATTTTTAAAGCTTTATTTATTTTGAGTACTGTATGTGAAAAAAAAATTAAATAATTTTTGTATTTATGTTTTACTTTTATAATTATAATACATAATACATAAAACATGTTTATACTTTTATTTAAAATTAAATTAAATCCATACATTTACTCAAAGAGTACTCAACAGTATTGAGACAGTAAATCACTGGTTTAAATAAATTGTAATATTTATCTGTGTTGTTGATACGCTTGTTTAGTCAGACGATATTAACATATTTACACACAGCGTAGAGCCATCATTTATTTCATATAAAAGTACACATTATAATGTATTAAAGGCAGAGCATAGTAACAATATATAATATCAGTAAGAAAAGGCCTTGTAACGGTCTAAATCCATATGATAAAACATAAAGAGTAATAAGTCAAATATATATAAAACTTCACAGATTTAACAAGGATTCTGGTTAACAGATGAGACTATGTTTTGTTTTACTTCTGAGCGAGTGTTAATTAATATTCGCCCCAAACTCTCACACATTTGTCACCTGGAAGCATTATTAACACAGACATTTTTGCAGTAGTAACTTCATATAAACTCAAAAACACATTGTAACATGAACAGCTTTTTAACCTGTTAAGCCCTGAGCCTGTTTTTCAGGTCTCAGGCTCGAAAATGACATTCCCAGAACAAATGACCATATCTTCCCTTCTAAAAGGGTTAAATTAATAATCTTTTTTCTCAAAGTAATGATAAACCTGTGAGTTGGATGTAGAAAAGTCAGAATCAATATAAATGTTTTTTATTTGAAAGAAAATTCAGATTTCACATAGTAAAAAACTGTAAATTAGTGTCCGTCCAAAAATTCTTTTTTACTTATAGTGAAAACCACCCTTGGATGATGGGTTAGTAGACTAAAAGCTTTAGGAATCCAAAGTGTGTGGTTGTGGACGTGAGTAAATTGACTAATACAATGGATGAGATGGAAGATATTAAAGCTGATCGGGATATGGATATACGACGCAATGCTTGGATTAAAGTGCGGATTGAACGATCAAAAGGATTGATAAAGTGTGATCCTAAGCAGCGGTGCCGCCAGGGATTTTGGGCCCCGTGAAAATATATCACATTGGGCCCCAAAAGTATTTGTTTTGATATATATATATATATATATATATGTTGTAGTCCTGTCTCCCTTCAGATATGTTAAGTGGCATGTCATTCAACACAATGCTGCTCACCTCCTTCAGTTGGGAGAACAGCTGGTTCAGGTTCAGCCTTATGGGGGGACAGGGCTGCTGAGCCTAGAGATGGATCTGTAGTTTGTACAGCGCAGGTCAGGTCAGGTCAGCAGGCCACACAAAGAAAAGAGGGCAAAGAGGTGGTAAACCCTTATGCTTTCCTGAACTGAATGTTTTGATTGTCTAAATGTATATACTTTGGGAGATAATAACTTTCCTAATGAACCAACACTTTTATTTAAAGGTCCCATGTCATGCTTTTCTGTTCTTACCCGTCCCCGTGTGATGTAGCTTTCTCTGCATGGAACCGGTCTGCAGTCACAAACCCTCAGTACACCCTGTAGCGAGTACATGCCGTGTTCAAGTTGATGTATAACATGTTTTTTTAAATACATGTTATATATCTGAACACATTTGCTGCAATAATTATTATGTAATAATAAACTTGCAATCAGAAGTCAATATAACTAATAGATCTAAGTTGAAACAAATGTATTATTACAATCTTCTTAACTTGAAATGATGAGTTATATAAATGTAGAACTTGAAAGTGTGAGTTATAATAAGACTGAAATGTGAGTTTATTTGACTAGGAGGTCAATAAGGTTTCCTTGCTCTAATAATGTCAGATTGGTATTTGTTTCAACTCTGAGTATAAAGTTAAAACAACTTAACCCTCCTGTTGTCTTCGGGTCAAATCTGACCGATTTACTACTTTCATCAATCATAACTTTTTTGTTTTACATTCGATTGCATTAAGGCTTTATGATATCCTTCACAGTAGACATTTGAACATATGAAATTGATGATCACCACTTTCATTGAGTTTTGGATGATTTAGTCAACTTTGAAACACCCATGGTGTTCCCCATAAAGAAAAGGAATTAGTAACCATCCGGATCAGATCACACACACACACACACACACACACACACACACACACACACACACACACACACACACACACACACACACACACACACACACACACACACACACACACACACACACACACACACACACACATACTCTAGATGTGTTCCCCCCCTTATGTGCCCCTCCCCCCACATGGATCACACCTGGCACACGCAATACATGTTCAGTGTCTATTCTCTGTATATTTACTGCAGTTGTTCATGTGTACCAGTAGTCTGATACAATATATACAGTTTGAAAGGGTGTTAAATGACATTTGGTGATGATTAATGGTTTTTGTTTTAATGTAATAGCAGTTAAAACAGGACCGGTCAAATTTGACCGCAAACACCAAAGTAAGGGGGGGAACGAAGACAATAGGAGGGTTAAACAACTTAAAAAAACAATGTTAATACAACTAGAACCTTTAAGTCATATCAACGAGATTTACTTGCATTAATGAGTTGAAACAAAGTTTGTCTTCAAGTTGACTTGATTTGCTTTTCCAAGGCAGCAGGTGGACTTTCATTTGCAAGTTGAACTGACATGAACTGTTTCACAGTGTGTAGCTTTTTATTTATTTCAAAGTGGGGCCCATTTGAATTGTATTTATTTCCTTCAAATGTGCAGAGGACTCCCCAAGTGCTGTGTTTCATTTATTTTAAAGTAGGCCTGTGTATTTCTTTTTATTCTCCTTATACGAGTTCTTTGTTTATTATTAGAGGTTAACAGTTTTCTTTAATGTAATAAATAATACATGCATTCTCACACATTCTCACTCCCAACTCGGCCTATGTTGACGTTATGTCAGGGTCCCTGTCGTCACTTTCCAACGCAAGGGGGGGCCCTTTAGCGTCGAGTTCCAACTATCAGGGAGTCCCATTGACTTAGAGCTCCCTGAACGTTGGTAATAGACCAGTTGGGATCGCGGCTAAATGCTCTCCGCAGACCCATTCTCACAGCGTTTATCAACCTTTTCTAACTCAATATCAAGCCACACTTATTGTGTTTACTTCTTTATTTTAATTGTATAATGTCGGACTTTTGTTGCTGTCAGTTAGGGGGAGAGTAGGGGCTCAGAAAACTGAAATCTGTATTGTTTCATCGTTTTTTCCTTCTAATGTTGTATTCTTTTCTAAACCACACACTGTTATTTACTCAACAATAAGACACAACTATCCTTGTGTTTATTTATTTGTTTGATTGTATAATGTTGGACTTTTGGGAGTGATAATGTGTTGGTTGTGCGGCTCCAGACAAAAGAAATGGGTGGAAAAGGGGGCAAAATGGCTCTTTGGGGTCCAAAAGGTTGCAGACCCCTGCCATAGTTTATGGGCGCTGTACGCTATCAATCAATCAGCTATTTCAATACTAACCTGTTAGAACTAAAGCCTTGAGGTTTAATTCTCACACAGAAACAAAGCAAACCAGGAGAAACACTTTTGAAATCAGCTCACTCTCAGAGTTTCATGGATTATTAAAGAAGTTTTATTATTTTTTTGGTACATAGCAAATGACAGCGATGACAACATTTGTTAAAAAAAGCCACATCAAAAAACCTTAATTGGCGAAAGCTAAATTCTTCAGAAATGCAAAAAACAACAAAATCAATCAAAATTCTTATGAAGCAAAAACATTTCTCGGTTCCAAAATCACAACACTTGTTTACGGACAATGTTAACATTTTAAGTACGAAATAATTAGTCTCCTGAATTTGGGAAAATCCTAAATCACAAAAATAATCTGAATTCTTTGAAAAAAGTGAAATTCAAAAGACATTAAAAATGTTTCATAAAAGTCCAAAAAGTAATGATTACAGATTATTGATCATCTTGTGAAATAAGTACAATCCTCAATAATACAAAAACAAGCACATTTCTTGATCACATAACAAAGCACATTACCTTTTAAAAAGGAAACTTCTACCAAATTATGTACATTTTTAATTACAACATGTTAGTATTTAATATCTTATGAATTTGGGAATGCTCTCCAATAGGTGGAGTTCTTAAAAACAGCTAAATTACTACAAAATACAGAGAAATACCATCAAAAATGATATAATGTAAGAAAAATACTGAATGATTGAAAATGATTACAAACTGAGCTCAGTACATGTGAAATAAGAACTTTGAAGAAAAGTTACAATCTTATACTTTTTGGCAAATTACAAATATAATCGGATTTCTCTGAAAAAGCTTCTTTTTTTATACAAACAATCTCTTCAGACTAAAATCAAGCTAAATTAAACTGAAATCACATTTTTCAATAAAAAAAACATCAGCATTGTTATGAAATAAGAAGTGTTTGGACTATTTACTTTTGTTCAATTCCTATTTGTATATTGTTCAGCTAAATCTGGCCCTGCTGCTAAAATGACCCATGTGACCCACAAGGGGATCAAATATCCTATCTCGCTGATCAGATGAATTGTTGTGAAAAACGTAACATTTTAAAAACTGTACTTTGTCTTATTTGTTGATTGAATAACAAAAACCCTTGTTGTGCTCGAGGTCTACAAATCTAACACTAGGTGGCGCTGTAACGCGTTCCTCCTGTTATCTCAGGAATCACTACATTAGATTCAAACATTGGGTTTTGTAACACTGTTTTTAGAGGATATTTGAACATTAATATATGGCATTCATTGGCCAACTTAGTTCCTGAGCGGCCTGGGTTGGTGTGTCTGGTTTCAAACTGCACCGACTGCATGGACTTTTAAAAATAAAACTAACTTGTGATGTTTTTTAAAGATCTTCATCTTCAGTGGGAACCAATTGGCTTGGAGCTGACAGGAAGTCAGGAAACATGAGGCACTAACACATTGCTGGTGACTTTCAGAGTGAAAGCTATATTTTCTAACGTTGGTTAAAATCTATAAGAGCTGATAAACCCATGTGTGTGAGAGGAGCTCCTTGGAGCTGCTACTCTGCTCCCTGAGCTCCTTCCTCTTCAGCAGGAACACCCAGGTAATCCAGCTCAATGTCCTCCTGTCGGCTCGGCCTCCGCCCCCTGGTGGCCTGGAGAGACATGACAGCACACAGTGAGACTTCCTGCATCACTCCTGTTCAATAACACACACTGTTTCATTCAGTCAGTGGTGGAACAACAACATGTTTCAGTCCCTTATCATTCAGTCAGTGGAACAACAACATGTTTCAGTCCCTTATCATTCAGTCAGTGGAACAACAACATGTTTCAGTACCTTATAATTCAGTCAGTGGTGGAACAACAACATGTCTCAGTCCCTTATCATTCAGTCAGTGGAACAACAACATGTTTCAGTACCTTATCATTCAGTCAGTGGTGGAACAACAACATGTTTCAGTCCCTTATCATTCAGTCAGTGGAACAACAACATGTTTCAGTACCTTATCATTCAGTCAGTGGTGGAACAACAACATGTTTCAGTACCTTATCATTCAGTCAGTGGAACAACAACATGTTTCCGTACCTTACAGTAGAAGTAAAGGCCGACGGTCACCAGCAGCACCAGCAGCTGAGTCAGCGGCAGGACGACGGCTCGGATGATAAAAGGTCCTGGATCTGATCAAACACATGGACAGCATCACATCAAGAGTCAGCAAACACACAGAGACCTGAACCCACTTCAGCATGGAGACTCCTCTACAGTTATATTACAATAAACTACATCTTCTTAAGATCTTCATTCAACCCCAACCCTTTTTCAAGTTCATACCAGACAGTAGGACTGTAGGGAGAAGCTGCTAGCTGTATCTGTTGAACAGTCAGTACTCATGGCAATACTCCAATGTAAACTACAGCTGACTGGAGAATTGCTGTTCTGGATTCATGTCTTCACGGTTCATTGCACTTATTGTACGTTGCTCTGGAAAGCTAAATGTGATGTAAGGGTGTGACTGCTTCAGGGCTCACAGTAAAACACTCAGTCCTCACCAGCGTTCTCCTGGGGAGCATCACGCTCTGTCCTACAGTAAACTCTAACAGCTCACCTGTGACGGTGACGGAGAGCACACGGCTCTCAGAGGAGAAGTCCTGAGAAAAAGCAGAGACATAAACACAGCTGTAGCTTCCCTGGTGGGCGGGCTCTGCAGCCGAGAACAGGAAGTGGGCAGAGTGATTGACAGCTGGCTGGGTGTAGTTGTGAGTGGAGGAGCTGAGCAGGAAGGAGCCTCCTGGGTACTGAGGCTGGATGGAGCAACTGATGGTGAAGGTGAAGCCTCTGAACACCTGGAACCCCTGCTGCTGGGCCCCGGAGACCCCGTACATGGAGGAGGACACAGATATGTTGGGCTGAAACAGCTTATCTGGAGAGAGAGAGAGAGAGAGAGAGAGAGAGAGAGAGAGAGAGAGAGAGAGAGAGAGAGAGAGAGAGAGAGAGAGAGAGAGAGAGAGAGAGAGAGAGAGAGAGAGAGAGAGAGGGGAGATTTGATTTTTTAAAGACTCCTTTATTAACAACAACAATGATCTTAGTTAGCTAGACATTGAGAAGATTTGATTTGTTAAACACATCTCTTCACATAGAATCAGAGTTCAAAGCAAGGCCTCCCTCCACCACAGAGCTCACAGATGGAGAGAAACACTAACGGTTTAAAAGCTCCTCCATGTTTCTCATCAGAGAGTGAAATCTAAAATCTAACTCCCTCTTGCTTTCACCAAGAGAAACACATGTTAGTGAGCTGCTGAGCTGCTGTACTGTTTACTTTGTTGTTCCTGCTTCTGGAGATCCACATGTTTGCCTGCCCCAGCAGCAACAATAAAAACAGTCTCTGTGAAAACCTCCTCTCAGTCTGAAGACACCGCTTTGAAGACATTACAAAGAGCTTTCAGTCTGTGACAGTCCAGGTAGCAGAGAGGGATTGTCTCTTTGTCAGAGAGAGAGAGAGACTAACAAAGAGACAGAGGACATGATGTCATAAACAATGTCCCTGATGGGCTTACCTGAGCAGGTGAGAGTCAGGAAGGTAGTAAGAGGAACGTGATGCTGCACACTCCCTCAGAGCAGATCCAGACTGAACACAGTCAGAGCTGATCCTCCACACAGGTCTCACTGAGGACTCCTCTCTCCGTCCCACAGAAACAGCAGAGCCACAGTCGAGCTCTCTGCAGGCGACTCCTGCTGCCTTCAGGGTCCAGGGAGAGTAGCCCCCCACTGGTCTCCATTCTCCCTGATGTTCCACCTCCAGAGCTCCTGCACAGCGACTCTCTCCTCCCTCCAGCTTAACACCACCAGGCTCTGAAGAGAAACAAGAGAGAGATCAGAGAGAGAATAAAGTGAGTTTGATGAGAACAGAATGAACCAATCACAGCTCCTCTCTACCTGAGCAGGTGAGGCTAACAGCTGTGCCAGGTGAGCAGGTGTTTCTCTCTGAGGCTGAGCTACAGTCCAGGAGAGCAGACTCATGGCCTCCACACTGGAACTCTTTGGTCCACATTGGAGCCTCCCCTTCTCCATAGAGCGCCCCCTGGAGGACTGAAGGAGCCCCACAGCCCAGCTGCCGGCAGACCACCTGAGCATCCTGCTGGTCAAAGTCAGCCTCACACACTGAGGACCAGGACGGGTTAGACTGGTTAGACTGGTCAGAGTTCACCTCCAGTCTGCCTGAGCACAGACCAGTCCCCCCCAGCAGCCTGACAGAGTCTGCAGAGGACAGAAGATCAAACAGAGGTCAAAGACACACCATCAAAGAGATGAAACTATATTTCAGAGATTCAAACTGGACTCAGTTGCGTTTTGTAAAAATGCAATATCAAATATGTTATTGATGCACACCAGAGCTATACCCGCTGGGACAAACATCCAACAGAGTCTTTACATGCAGAATTCTGCAGATACATTTGACGTGTTCAGAGAAAAACACCAACAAATGCATGTAGAGCAGAATTAGGCAGATACCCTCTGATCATTAACACTCAAAAGAGAGCACTAACATTCTTTAACCACCTTAGATCCAGCCCCCGAGACACCCTCCACTCCAAAGCCCTCCAAAGCCAAGAGCTAACCCCAGAGAAGAGTCCCCTATGTCAGCTGGTGCTGAGGCTAACTGCCCCCTCTCAGAGCCACTCTGACCAGTCTCTCAACAACACTGCTCTCCAAACACCAATCACAGTCAAACGCATTATAACACAATGTAAACACAACTATTTAGAACATTGGAAAGAAGAAACTAGAAGCCAAAGTAGATTAGAATGTTACCTGGCTCTAAAGAGAGAGTATGAGCTGGCAGAATATCTGTCTACTGTCAGAGATAGAAAGCAGAGACAGATCCTAACCAAGCACAGGCTCAGTGACCACACACTGGCAACAGGAAGACACAACAGATCCTGGCAACCAAAAGAAAACAGAATATGTGGTCACTGTACGACAGGTGAGACTGAGACAGAGATGCACTTCCTCCTAAAGTGCCAAACATTCAACGAAGTAAGGAGCATTTACTGAAACAAGTTGAACTCTGTAATCCCAGGTTTCAAGGAGGTTAATGACCTCTCAAGACTGAGAGAGAGAGAGAGAGAGAGAGAGAGAGAGAGAGAGAGAGGTTAATAACCTCTCAAGACTGAGAGAGAGAGAGAGAGAGAGAGAGAGAGAGGGGAGAGAGAGGAGAGAGAGAGAGAGAGAGGAGAGAGAGAGAGAGGGAGAGAGAGAGAGAGAGAGAGAGAGGGAGAGAGAGAGAGAGGAGATTAGATCTTTTAAAGACTCCTTTATAACAGTTTAAAAGCTCCTCCATGTTTCTCATCAGAGAGTGAAATCTAAAATCTAACTCCCTCTTGCTTTCACCAAGAGAAACACATGTTAGTGAGTTGCTGAGCTGCTGTACTGTTTACTTTGTTGTTCCTGCTTCTGGAGATCCACATGTTTGCCTGCCCCAGCAGCAACAATAAAAACAGTCTCTGTGAAAACCTCCTCTCAGTCTGAAGACACCGCTTTGAAGACATTACAAAGAGCTTTCAGTCTGTGACAGTCCAGGTAGCAGAGAGGGATTGTCTCTTTGTCAGAGAGAGAGAGAGACTAACAAAGAGACAGAGGACATGATGTCATAAACAATGTCACTGATGGGCTTACCTGAGCAGGTGAGAGTCAGGAGGTAGTTAGAGGAACGTGATGCTGCACACTCCCTCAGAGGAGATCCAGACTGAACACAGTCTGAGCTGATCCTCCACACAGATCTCTCTGAGGACTCCTCTCTCTCCCACAGAAACAGCAGAGCCACAGTCGAGCTCTCTGCAGGCGACTCCTGCTGCCTTCAGGGTCCAGAGAGTGTTATAGTCCTCCACTGGTCTCCATTCTCCCTGATGTTCCACCTCCAGGTCTCCTGCACAGCGACTCTCTCCTCCCTCCAGCTAACACCACCAGGCTCTGAAGAGAAACAAGAGAGTGATCAGAGAGAGAATAAAGTGAGTTTGATGAGAACAGAATGAACCAATCACAGCTCCTCTCTACCTGAGCAGGTGAGGCTAACAGCTGTGCCAGGTGAGCAGGTGTTTCTCTCTGAGGCTGAGCTACAGTCCAGGAGAGCAGACTCATGGCCTCCACACTGGAACTCTTTGGTCCACATTGGAGCCTCCCCTTCTCCATAGAGCGCCCCCTGGAGGACTGAAGGAGCCCCACAGCCCAGCTGCCGGCAGACCACCTGAGCATCCTGCTGGTCAAAGTCAGCCTCACACACTGAGGACCAGGACGGGTTAGACTGGTTAGACTGGTCAGACTTCACCTCCAGTCTGCCTGAGCACAGACCAGTCCCCCCCAGCAGCCTGACAGAGTCTGCAGAGGACAGAAGGTCAAACAGAGGTCAAAGACCACCATCATTTTTTCATTTCATTTCAAACCTTTATTTAACAAGATTGGTCCCTTGAGATCATAGATCTCTTTTTCAAGGGAGACCTGCAGCAAATAGGTTCCACATGAAACATAAAACAAACATAAAACAATAAAGGACATCATATATTATATTTACAGGCTACATTTACATAGTTATCGACATTTACAAGTACCCATGGTATCAAAAAGCATTTCACTTAGCCTAGCTTTAAAAACATGCAGAGCAATGAAATTGCTCAGTTTCAATTCTTGCTGAAGATTGTTCCAAGCAAGTGGAGCTGCGCACATAAAAGCTGTCTTCCCTAAGACAGTCCTTGCTCTTGGCACATCTAACAAGACTACATCCTGCCATCTCAGACAATAGCTGCTTGCAACTCTCTGTGTTATCAGAGAGCAGATACAATACGGGAGTTTACCCAACATGGCTTTATAAATAAACGTGTACCAGTGACTGAGCCTCCGTACAGTAAGTGATGGCAAACCTCCTTGGTATACAGGGTACAGTGATGCGTAAGTGACTTTAAAAGTGTTCAATGTTGTGCATCAATAACAGATTTGATGTTGTTACATTTCTATAAAAAATGCTTTTGTGAGTGGATTTCTGAGACACCCTGACGCCGCTAGATTCACAAAGGAATGTATTCAAGATGGGAGTTTCTGTAGCCAATCAGATGTCTGCATCATTTAAGCCAATCACATGAGTGCATCCCTTTCAAGCGAAATGACTGCCCTGCCCACTTCCCGGTAAAACTAAGGCATCAGAACGAAGCGGAAAACAATGTTAATATCACTTCTACTCTAGCTTGGAAGAACACGATATGAGGTCCATCCTAAGTCTCTGAACTTGAGTCCATGCTTCCCTCACTTGCGTCCTTTCCTCCACACGAAGAGGGAGGGAGTAAGGAAATGTGTTTTCAGAGCAATGAGACGTCCTTTCCTCTGAGTGTGAAGTTAAAGGACTTCCGTTTGTGATTCCTGATCGCTGCTGGATCGGCTGTCAGTGGCTTTAACAGCTGCACACTTCTGACAGAGTTTGTGTTTGCAGACATGTTCGCTGTTCTATTCCTAATAAGAGGCTCCCAGTTATCACTGCCGGAGCAGCAGCAGTGTGTTACCTGTCTCACCTCACACCTGCACAGTGGGGGTTCTAGAACATTTTACATGGGGAGGCAAAGGGGGGGCAAGAGGTCAGGGTGGCATGGGAGGGGCCGACAGTACGTGGTATTTCATACTGTATATAAAACCTATTTATTGTTAAATCATGGCCGAACACAAGTGTTCTTAATGCACAAGAGAAACAAGGTGTTCAGACTAACAAACTAACATATAGTATAAAACAGCAGAAAGTACTCATGGTACCCTAGAACTCTGTGTACTGTAAGTACAGTCAAAGTACTTAGTTATAATGAAGTACACACATGACATCACCCATCTCTTCAGAGAGCTAGAGGTGACCTGTGCAGCAACACATTTCAATATGTGTCAATACTAAGAGCTGCTAGATTGAGCTGCTGTGATGGAAGATGTGAGGAGAAGAAGAACATACCATGTGGTCCAGCTGGAGTCTCCTCTGCCTCCTGATCCCTGCCTCTGGCCCTCTTTCTGACACTTCATCTTCCTCACATACATGTCTTCTTCTTCACTAATGTCTTCATCTCTCCTCTTCCTCCTGCTCTGACCCTCCTGCTCTCTTCATATCCCTCTCTTCCTCCTGCTCTGACCCTCCTGCTCTCTTCATCTCCTCCTCTTCCTGCTCTGACCCTCCTGCTCTCTTCATCTCCTCCTCTTCCTCCCTCTGACCCTCCTGCTCTCTTCATCTCCTCTTCCTCCTGCTCTGACCCTCCTGCTCTCTTCATCTCCTCCTCTTCCTCCTGCTCTGACCCTCCTGCTCTCTTCATCTCCTCCTCTTCCTCCTCCTCTGACCCTCCTGCTCTCTTCATCTCCTCCTCTTCCTCCTGCTCTGACCCTCCTGCTCTCTTCATCTCCTCCTCTTCCTCCTGCTCTGACCCTCCTGCTCTCTTCATCTCCTCCTCTTCCTCCTGCTCTGACCCTCCTGCTCTCTTCATCTCCTCCTTTCTCCTCCTGCTCTGACCCTCCTGCTCTCTCATCTCCTCCTCTTCCTCCTGCTCTGACCCTCCTGCTCTCTTCATCTCCTCCTCTTCCTCCTGCTCTGACCCTCCTGCTCTCTTCATCTCCTCCTCTTCCTCCTGCTCTGACCCTCCTGCTCTTCATCTCCTCCTCTTCCTCCTGCTCTGACCCTCTGCTCTCTTCATCTCCTCCTCTTCCTCCTGCTGACCCTCCTGCTCTCTTCATCTCCTCCTCTTCCTCCTGCTCTGACCCTCCTGCTCTCTTCATCTCCTCTCTTCCTCCTGCTCTGACCCTCCTGCTCTCTTCATCTCCTCCTCTTCCTCCTGCTCTGACCCTCCTGCTCTCTTCATCTCCTCCTCTTCCTCCTGCTCTGACCCTCCTGCTCTCTTCATCTCCTCCTCTTCCTCCTGCTCTGACCCTCCTGTCTCTTCATCTCCTCCTCTTCCTCCTGCTCTGACCCTCCTGCTCTCTTCATCTCCTCCTCTCTGGTACAGATGCTTGTGTAACTTCACACGTTAGGGCCATGTAGCTGATAAGTAGCATATCATAAATAGAACATCAGAAAGTATTGATCAAGCGCACACAGGCAGCTGTGTTCAGACCCAGTTTGACGGTAAAGGATGTATCCTGCTTTCATTGATCTGGCCTCATGGCTGTGAGCAGTGGCACAGCAAGACCCTCTGGGGGCCCAGAAGAGACATGCCCCCAACCCATCCAGCATTCAGCTAACGCTCTCCTAACACCAGCTGCTCCTCAAAGTACCGTGCACTGATGCATATTCACAGAGAAACATACATTTAGCTGTCAGTGGAAATTGTAAACACTGTGTCCTAAATAAAGGAGGTTAAATATAAAGTCTCTCTCATATTAAATATTACGTATGTTCTGATTTTAAACCTTGTGTATGTATTGATTACACCTGATTACCCGATAAACAAACAAAGCTTCTGCCACATGAATATCAGACGGATTTCATACAGATTGTGATGGATACTAAATGAGATGTCACTCTGCTACCAGATGAATGTTCAGTGACGTTTATATCATGTCTGGATTTGTTCTAGATACTTTTTAATCTCGGTTAACCCCCCCCATGAACTGTGGTTGCTTAAAACGACTGTCTTAGATGATGTCACTGATGATGTCACTGATGATGTCACTGATAAGCTTACCTGAGCAGGTGAGAGTCAGGAAGGAGGAAGGGGGAGATGATACTGCACACTCCCTCAGAGCAGATCCAGACTCAACACAGTCAGGATAGATCCTCCACACAGGTCTCACTGAGGACCCCTCTCTCTCTCTCCGTCCCACAGAAACAGCAGAGCCACAGTCGAGCTCTCTGCAGGCGACTCCTATTGCCTTCAGGGTCCAGAGAGAGTAACGGCCCTCCACTGGTCTCCATTCTCCCTGATGTTCCACCTCCAGGTCTCCTGCACAGCGACTCTCTCCTCCCTCCAGCTTAACACCACCAGGCTCTGAAGAGAAACAAGAGAGTGATCAGAGAGAGAATAAAGTGAGTTTGATGAGAACAGAATGAACCAATCACAGCTCCTCTCTACCTGAGCAGGTGAGGCTAACAGCTGTGCCAGGTGAGCAGGTGTTTCTCTCTGAGGCTGAGCTACAGTCCAGGAGAGCAGACTCATGGCCTCCACACTGGAACTCTTTGGTCCACATTGGAGCCTCCCCTTCTCCATAGAGCGCCCCTGGAGGACTGAAGGAGCCCCACAGCCCAGCTGCCGGCAGACCACCTGAGCATCCTGCTGGTCAAAGTCAGCCTCACACACTGAGGACCAGGACGGGTTAGACTGGTTAGACTGGTCAGACTTCACCTCCAGTCTGCCTGAGCACAGACCAGTCCCCCCCAGCAGCCTGACAGAGTCTGCAGAGGACAGAAGATCAAACAGAGGTCAAAGACACACCATCAAAGAGATGAAACAATATTTCAGAGATTCAAACTGGACTCAGTTCCAACATGAGTTGATGATGAACAACAAAACACATGTTTAAAGAACACAGACTGCAGGTACCCTCACATCTACATCTGATACCCTCTAGCAAGTGGTCTCCATTAGTGAACCCTTC